ATTATTCAAGAGTGTGGCTACTTAAACTAGTTTTCCTTCCCTCTTAGAAAATCCCACCTTCTACAAAATATGCCTCTCTGAAAGATAAAGTTTGTGGTCCCCGTGTCCCGAGGAAATATTCCCCCACGAAAATGAAATAGGGTGGGGGAAGGGGGAGCCATCTCTACTTTTTGGGAGTGAGTGCGGTTCGATTAAGATTGATGTCAGAGACTATTACCCTCTGAACCAAGTCCTGACCTCAGTCCCGCTTACCTCAGAGACATCTCTGCACTTAGGTAAGTCTTTCTCCCGACGTCAGTACCTCTTACCTCAGTGCTGACTTCTTGGGTAAGTGCTTTAACACTTACGTCAGAGAAAACTGAACTGACCTCAGAGCAAATTGCACTGACCTCAGTGGAAAATTCACTGACCTAACACTTGCCATTTTTACCAGGGATGTCAGTCGGCCATTTAATTCTGCCAGATTTATGCCTCTCTCAAAACTGTCCTTATTCCCATGCTTAGTCAACGATTATAAGCCCTGTACTGCGGTTATCAAACCGACCTTTTAACATTGTTAACTAGAATAATCATCTTGAAAAACCTGATTACTCCGTTTGTCACAGTGCCTAGTGAAGGTGGAACAGAAGGGAGAGAGAGCATTAAGAAAGAAAAAGAGGCCCTCTTCATGGCCATATCAGATGAAGTACTTATCGATATCATTGATATTGGGGTCTGAGGAACAATACCACATGGTATTGATATTGTTGAGTATCGAACAAAAGTATCGAAACTTTGGAAGTATCGGTTAAGAATGGACAACCGTAAGACGTATATAAGTAGGGATAGATAGATAGATAATTTATTTTTCAGAATGAACAAAATATAACAATGAAAATTGTGAGCACTACAATAGCTGCCCAATAGGGGCCCCACATCCTAGGTCCAGGATCTTCTCTGAAGCAAGAGGAGCCCTTTTCAATTGCGCGCTTCAAAATGCATGCCTCTCATTTTATGGAAAAAAATATTCCTCTATGACCACTTGTGGCATTTATGACTTCGGTAGTACGTTAATGGTATAAAATTGAGGCACTGGATGCAAAAAGAGCACTTCTCGATTGCAGTGTTCCAGAATCTCTGGTGCTAATTAATCCCTTTAAGAAGAATTTAAGTAATGGGTAATTTTGCCAGAATTCTCTCCATAGAAAATTTTCAAATCATAAGGATTATTCAGTGAAATTTTTAGTGAAATGGATGCATTCACTTTCCTTACAATGAATAAAATATTAGAGGAGACTCTGAAACACAGCAACCAAGAAGTGCCCTTTTCGCATCCAATGCCTTAATTAGTGGAATGATGGTAGCCAAGGACCTTACAAATCGGAGGCGAGCATGCTACCTCCAAGCCATGCCAGCTCGCGAGAAATTGCTACTTAATACATAAGACGATTGAAGTTTCGTCTTTCTCCACCAGCGGGCCGATTATTGAAATTTAGTGTTTTTCGGGCGGACATAGATGACATGGGTTAAATGGCGAGGTGTGATTGGTCGGCTATGTCTTATTGCTGCTTTTTTGTGCCTTTGTCAGGTGGAATGGACGACATACTGTCGGAAATTTAAGAGGTACCGATAGCTTGTCGTGAGTTCAACCCGACATAGGCAAGACAAAGCAGCGATAAGACATAGCTGACCAATCATGCTCTGCCTTTTAACCCATGTCATCTATGTCCGCCTCCCTGACAAACACAAAATTTCAATAATCGGCTTGCTGAGCTGGGAGTAGATATGCATTGGTGACACGCTCCTGCTTACTGGTGATCTGTAGCAGGATTTTCTGTCAGCCGTAGCCTTCGGGGTGAAGAAGGAATCTCTGCTAAACTCAAAGCCTTTCGATAGTATCAATTTCTTGTCTAATTTCAATTTTCTTTTCTTTCAGAATGGTTGGTTCCAGAGTTTATGTAGGAGGTTTACCCTATGGGTGCCGTGAAAAGGACCTAGAAAAGTTCTTCAAAGGCTATGGCCGGATCAGAGACATATTATTGAAAAATGGCTATGGATTTGTGGTAAGTTATTGTCTTCAAGGAAACAGATTTCATGTGAAATTTCTTTTTCTTAAAGAGGTGTATTATGGAATTCATGGTTTAAAATTGCTGATTAATCAGTATTCATCAAGATTTTATTGTGCTTTAGTAGCACTTGCACATTTTTAAGCCTGATTCTTACTTAGATAAGAGTTGTGATTTGGGCCTCCTTATTACATTGATACATTACTGACTTAACATATGATTCCGTAAATAATTTTTTGAAGTGTCTTGCAAATTATGTTTTTCACCTATAAGTCTTAATTTCTGAGAATGGGTGCTTGCAAAACTTTTCGTGTCCTGTATACAAAGTTGCGCATTGGTTCATTTTTAATTTTGCCAGCTTCCCAGTTTCTGAAATTTAACTGTAAGTAATTTGTTTCAGGAATTTGAAGACAACAGAGATGCTGAAGACGCAGTGTATGAACTGAATGGCAGGCCTCTCATGGGCGAAAGGTAAGCCTTCAAACCACTTTTTCTACCAGATATTGGACACCATTTTCTTTGCTTATCTAGTAGGAAGTGTGGAAATAATACTTATCTTAACTTCTGAACTCCATCCTTGTGTTATTCCTCATCATGAAAAGAAATTAGAATCAACAAGCAAATGACCCTTTCTCCCCTGGTGTTCACAACTTTAGCTTGAAAAAGATTAGCTTCCTTTCTCAGCAAGGCATAAAGGAAATTCTGACTAAAGGACTGTTGGAAAATACGTAATGCTCTACTAAGGAGCGAGCATTCAAGGCTGCACGACGTAAGGGTAGAATAGACCATTGGCACCTAATTTTCAAGAATCAGTGATGGAAAATTGACATGAGATGGTAATTTTTCCACAGTTCATCACATAATGCCAGCAGAAGGGGGGGGGATTCAAACAGAGTCACATTATTGTTTCAATTGGTAGTGCAGATAAGTGTTAAAAATCTGTTGTGTGGGTCAACAAATCTGAGTTTCAGCGGTAGGTTATTTTTGTAATGCTTTGTATCTCAATCTAATTCCTATTTCGATACCTGCCCCCAACTAATCACTTCCCATTTCATTCAGGAATGTTTACAATGATTAGTTAATGGAGATGTTGCATGTGTGAGGAATTTGCGTTTTGACTACTGATTTTTATGTAAAAGTTTGCGAGAAACACGATGATGCCACTGGTTTTCTTTGAAATTAACTCCCAAGCTCAGAAAAAGCTCTCAAGTTGAGGCCAAAATGGAGGGGATATCCCATGCTATCCTGAGGGTCCCCCTCTACATCAAGACAAACTCTCTATGCAAAGATAGGGAGCAAATACATTGACAAGGCTGCTGCTTTATTTGGGGACCTTACAACTGAAAACACGGCAACCCTGCTAATGTACTTGTTCCCTATCTTTGCAAGGAGAGTTTGTCTTGATTTAGAGGTGGACTCTCAGGATAGCGTGGGATATCCCCTCCATTACGCCCTCAACTTAAGAGCTTGTTTTGAGCTTGGGTATTTCCAGAGAAACCCAGTGGCACCATCGTGTTTCTCGCAAACTTTTACATAAAAATCAATAGTCAAATCGCAAATTCCTCACACATACAACATCTCCATTAGACCAAAGAATTTTTTTTTGGTATCAAAGGATGTAAGCAATTTTTCCCCTTCATCTTTTTATTTAGCTGTGTTCCCCAGGAAGTTTGTATCGACAGTAAAGTAAGTTTTTCTTCCATTTCCAGAATCACTGTAGAGCGAGCCCGAGGTACTGACAGATCCCGAAGAGGATTTGGTGGAGGTGGCAGATTTGGAGGTGGTGGAGGCAGGTATGGAGGTGGACGTCGGCGTACTCCTGATACGTAAGTTGCGATCCTCAACCTCTCTTAATTGTGTTCGAGTTCCAGTAATTAGGGCAGAAAATTTAACTAGGTGCAGTTGACAATTACGTTGTCTCATCAATAACCAGCCAACAAATAATGTATTGCATCATAATGAAGTTCAGAAATGCCTCCAAATTGAATTGCATTTTGCATAAAGGAACCAAGAGCCATGAAATGTTTCTAGAACTGTGCAACTTGCATTCTTCATAATGAAATTACTATAATCGTGCAAAATATTACTAGGACGTAAATATTAAACCCGTTTAGATGATTGGTTTATATTTGCAAGATATAAAAAAGTTGCACAATCTTTTAGTGACATTGTAATGTTCTTAGTTCAATTTTGCAAAATGCGATCCAATTAGTCCAGCTTAGTTATGAACTAAATTTTGAGAGGGTTATATTTGTAAGTCTTGATAGAATCAATGCAAACGGTTAAGAGAGCACATCTAAAAGCCATTCAGCACAAAATGCAGAAATTATTATCCATGTGAAACAAATCACATGATGAGTGGCAAGCGATCAGCTTAGCTTTGAAAAGCATCAAAAGCATTCTACATTATTATTTTTTCATCATTCTGCTCGCTTGTCAAACGTTTTTATTGAGTTGCAAGAATGCAAGAGCGTATTAAATAATGAGAACTTTATTTGCCAGAAAGGAGGGAACATTGATTTAAGTACAATGAGAGCTATTATTTGAACTTGAACCTCAGGTATCAACATATATATGTGAAGGGACTAATATCCTTTGAACTGATCACCTAAAAAACTTCCAAAAATTATTTGTTTCTTCAATAAGTTTTCTAAAAGAAAATTATACCCGGCATCCTGATCCTAGCTCATGTGGTTTTTTTGGGTGTGGGTACTCTTGTGATTGAAAAATATTTATGTTTGATTACATATGTGAACTGGTCGTAAGATGAAAAAATCACTTGAGTTTCAGGTACGGGCCACCGAGAAGGACAGATTACAGAGTCATCGTTGAGAATCTATCCAGTCGCATCAGCTGGCAGGTAATTTAAACGCCACCACTTCGTACTGTATCTTTGGATTATTATCAGATGTCTAATTTTTGCTAGATTAGCTTCTTGTGACTACAAGCAACTTGGCCACTTACTGGGTGCTTCTCATGGTGTTGAGGTGAAGGTGCCTGCTGGACCATATAAATTAACACATCTAGAAGTACAGCTAAAGTTATTCCATCTCTCAAGAAGATCGGGGACCAATTTTTTGGAGGGACCTAGTAATTTAAAAGCTTTGGAAGTTTTAGTGAAATTTTTTTCTGTCGCCTATGAGATTTTCAGGAGTCAGGTTTGTGTTTCAAAACTGACTTCTGCTACTCATTGCCCCCACTATTTTAATGAAATTCATTAATGGCGGCAGGCACCTCATGGTAGTTTTGGGTAATACAGTTTTTTCCCGATGTTCCAGCATCGTAGTTCTCAAATTTTCACGTCTGCACCTAAGATAAGTTTTGAAACAAATTGTTTCCTTACAAGTTGCAGCAGTCCATAAGCTAACCTCTTCCTTCTTTGAAACTAATTTTTTGTTCGTCTCTCGGCTGTTCCCTATTTTCTTTTTTTATCAATCACATTCAGCCATTATGTCTCCTAGATTGCACTCGAGCACTTACAGAATTGCTTATTAAAATCTCTTCTTGATTGACTTGTTCCATAGAGAAAATGGGTTTTTTAATATCTTTACCATTTCAAAATTACAATTTAAAGATCATTTAAAGTATGTTCCTGTAAACTGTCTAATTAGTTGGCCAAACTTGTCAAATATCCATGTCATTTTTCTTTTCACATCCTCGTCTAAGATTCATGGAAAGTGACACACTGAAGTCTCCGTTCAAGAAAATAGAACCTAACTACAACTGGGAAGAATCTTCGTTGCAACTTGCAATGCATCAGTGTTCAAACCTTCGTCCACGGTCTATGCCACAAACCGACGCAAAGCCTGCAACGCCGCAATGATGATCAGTCCTCACCCAGGGTTCGAAGTGCCTGTGATGATCATGGAATAACTCGACAAATGCTGGAATATTCTCGTATCGTCATCAATTCAAACTTGGAACAGTGCCGCATGGAAAACTGCAGAGAATGAAAGTGTGTCACCTTCCTGAATTTCTTAGTCTTTAATAATGGAAATCTTAGCTTTTTGACTGCTGCAATACACGGTTTTTATTCTCACAAAGACAAGAGCTAACAGGGTTAGATATAAGTATGGGAATGGTTAGGCTCTGTATAGTCAGTGAAAGTTGGGTGAGAGAATAGGCAGGAGCTTCCGTTTGAACGGCAGGGCTCTCATGAGCTTAGAGCTCCTACAGATGGTAAGTCAAAAGGTGAATGTTGTGTGTAAAATGAGCTATATAAACATAAAATTTTGACTTTTAAAGAGCGTAGCAACTTGAGGCATCACTGACCAGGTATGACGGACATGAAGGCATTTCGGTAAAATCGCTCGCTCGTTCAAGTGCAGAAACTCCAAGGCCACACGGCTCGAAGCCTACTGGACCCGAAGCCAACTCCATGGTCCACCTGTGACGGACCGCGCTCATTTTGCCACGGTATTCGCATCCCATAATGCAAGTTCCTCGGAACATGGCCTCCCCCGCGCCTTAGCCCCTTTGACGCACTGCTCATCGCCCTAGACACAATGTGCATCACCCTAGACCCGTGATATCTGATGGAGCCAGGCGTTGTCTATCTGTTCTGTCTGTCTGTTCTTAAGCTCCTTTAACCTCCTCACTGAAGCAGGCGTTTAAGGAGAATCATGCAGGTAATTGTCAATGCTTTTGTTGCTCTACGTTTCTCGTTATATCTATTCTTATCCAAACCTTCCCTTCCTCTCTTTCCTGAGATCTGTCTCGGATATCTGCGACCCTGCCTCATGTGGTGTTTTTTTACTTTTTCGTCTTTAATTATTTGACCCCTTAAATTCAAATTTAAATCAACGGTTATTCCCATTTTTTCGTTTCCCCTAAAGTTTTAATTTTTTTAATTTCGCGGTAAAATAATTTTTCTCCATCTTCTTAATTTGCAAAATGTTTTAAGTAACTGTCCTTGTATAAATCACACTCGTATTTTGAAATTTCGCCTCAAAATCAAACTGGAAATCATCATCGTCAATTCGGTTCTCCCACGCTCTGTATCTCTGTCAACACTGCCAGAGGATGTTGTTAGCTTCAAGAAACTCCCCCTGGCTGGGATTCAATATTGAGTATCAAGATTTGGAAATAATATAGTCTTCAAGGCTTTGATTGTCTTAGACATGGTCATGCAACTTCTCCTATTAAAGGCAGATCGACAAAATTGGGAAGAGTTTTACCGATTCTGGTGCTCCAGAAAACTTCTGACAAAGTGATTATGACGATGGACTCACAAACTGAAGAAGGAAAATGACAAGTGTTAGCGCCCTTGATATAAACCTGAGAATACTGAATGGCATTCTACCAAGAAGTTACAAACTGCAATCAGCTCACAATGGGACCACACGGTGAAAGATTGGACCTTGGATATCATAATCTTTACAGCCTGGATGAAAGGAAGGCGAAAGATGGAAATCAACAGTGATTATGCAACCCAGCCTCAAGACTGATTACAATTATGATGTAATTGGTCGCCACACAGGAAAAGCATAGGATAAGCATGTGCAGACTGTCACTTCAAAATCTTCTCTCACTGGATGGGCTGGAAGTATAAATTGCACCAACTCCAATACTCCACTGCGTGGTTTTTAGTTTGACGCTTCTACGGTTTTTTTGTATTTCGGGTTTCCCCGTCCCCATTCGCTTCGGTTTTCCTTCTTTTTTAATTTTTTCCCTCCTACGCTTTTTTCTGTTAACTTCCCTCTCATTCCTGCTCTCACCATTTCATTGAGACACTGGCTATTAAAGTGACCTTAGGTCCAGATGAACTTTCAACAAGGCCAATTTGATCATGGAATTTCTGATATTTGTTGTCATCCGAAAAATTAAAGATGTATAGTCCTAGAACATCTCACCCATGTCTAATGAGGAAAGCTGAAGTGAAATTAATTGGAGAAGCTTACATTCCAGGAATATGCATTATGGTCTTCAACCCTTTTTTGGCCGGTCTCTCAGTTACAAAGCTAAACTATCTTTTTCCTATCTAAAACTTCGTCCATTACAAGGGAGGTGCTAGGTTTACATTAAGATTAGAGTAGCGTCTCTTGGTCGTGGAAATTGCCTCTTTGGTAGGATCTGGTACATATTTGATGGTTTTGAAACTTTTAAGAGGTGCAAAGTCAGTGCGTTTGTATTAAACTACATTAGTGGCCAAAAATTATATTTTACTAGAAGAATTGGGTTTTTCTCTCACAAATCTTGGAAGATTGTCTCTCGAGAATCACAGGATTTTGCCCTGACTAGATGTCTATGGACTCATCTAATCATGCTTCATGAAACTTGACAATTGCAGCTGATAGGAGTGACCTTGGCCAGGTTAATAATCGTGCTTGCTTTTATTTGACCCAAATGTGAAGTTTTCTCTCTCTCTAAAATACGATTCCAAAAATCACGATGTATTTCCAAGATATTTTAATCGATCCGTTCTAAAATGTGTACAAAAAGTTCATATCTACAATAGAATTTGAGGGGGGAAAAATTACACTTTTCACAGCTCACAGGATAAGACTGGGCATGAGAGATTAGGTGAAAGCAAGCGAGGCAAGTTACCTATGTTCGGAACCATAACTGATCATTGAAAACAACATTATTGTCATGATGTTACAGTTTAAGTTGGATCTTTATCATCAGGAGTTACTGCATTTTGCTCTTCTCTGTTGTTGAAGCAAATGTAAAACATGAAATTATTGAGGAGCGGGGAGACGAGTTAATCACATGTTTTGCTGAGCTCTAGCTGCTCTGGGAATGTGAATTTTCTTAAAACAGAAATCGATGAAGATCCAAAAAATTATGATAATTGTCAACAATTTCCAAATCTTAGTTCGAAAGTTGAATCGAACATGTACACAATCAGATCAGTTTAACCTTTGAATCACACAGTTAACAGATTTCCCTGGTGCGATCGGAAGTTGTTTCAGGAAAGAATCCAGGACTGTCAGAACCTTAAGCTCTGATGCTCAAAGAATTTTCACGTGACAAATGCACTGTCCTGGAGGTCAATAATTCCTACAGAACATACTCAATAGTGTGACCTCGTTATTCTTTCCTTGAACAACTTTTTTGACTCTAAGTCTCACCACCCAATCGAAGCTTGGCGTCTGGTTGTGATACTTCATTGAAGTCCCCTCTCACTCTCAAATATTTTTCAATTTAACCGTCTATGATATCTCTTTTCAAGTAGTTCCTCAAAAATTATATTATTTGTCACTAATAACCGTTTGCTTGCTCATTCCAGGACTTGAAAGATTTCATGCGAAAGGCTGGAGAAGTCAGTTATGCAGATGCTCACAGAATCAATCGCAATGAAGGGTGAGTTAGAATTTTCTTTTAATTTCTAAAACTATCCTGAAAGATCCTCATTCTAAATGTAGTATCTAGATATAGAAGAGAATAATGTTACACATTGTCCGCTTCAATATTTTGGGTACATATTTTCCATAGGGCTGTAAGAGACTCTGAAGTAGTTTGTGAAAGGAAGATATGAGAAATCGTGTCCTTAGAAACATGGGAAAGTCAAAGATTCCGTACTCAAAAACCTCAAAAAGTTAGTATTAAGTCAGGAAAGTTGGTCATCAAAGATGAATCATACCTTGGAGTCGCTGGTCTAAATTGAAAGGAAAAAATCCGTTAATAAATCATTTAATTCCAATACAAAAATTCCTTCCAGAATCACTAAAACTGTTCCTCAGTCATGTACGTTGACAGGGTTAACCATATTCTGCATCAAAAAGAGGGTACAAGAATCACCGATAGGTGCAGCGCAGATGATAAATGAATCCATGTATGATTTCCAATGAGTCTATTCCTAGTAGATTATTTTTTAATGTATATTATCCCTCGCAGTCTACCTTTGATGATCATGAGAAATAATTATGCCTGTATGTTTTTTTTTTTTTTATATAAATAGAGTCGTTGAATTTACCTCTTACTCAGAGATGAAAACTGCCATTGAGAAACTGGATGGAACTGAACTCAATGGACGTCGCATTCGTTTGATAGAAGACAAACGGAAGTCCCGCAGATCCTACAGTTCATCATCTCGCTCAAGGTCTCGTTCCCGATCTCGCTCCAGATCCAACCGCAATAGGTCTCGTAGCCACTCCAAGTAAGTTCCTGGCTTTTTCTTTTTTTCTCTCTAAGTCACAAAAAATAATGCTGCCTCTTTGATTATTTATCCAAGTTCAGCAGGCATTGATCAAAGACCCTTTAAATTCAATCAAACTTGTAATTTCAGCCCACATAAAAATCAGGGGAATTATTGAAGTCAAGAAACCCCCCATTGGCCTCTTGGTGACAGGTGGAAGCTTTTACTTTCGGGGATTCAACATTTTCTTATAGACAATTACAAGGGAGCTATAGTCGCACTCTTATTTTGGCTGTTGACCTACCTACATGGTGGATGATGAGCTTCAGGTGACGTCATGAGCCAAACAAGTTTCCCAAACTTTGGCTTGTTTGCGAAACGAAACTGCCAACAAGTTGTTAAACATCAACCATGTAGGTAAGTCTGCAGTAGAATGCTGAAGTCCGGAAAGTAAAAGCTTCCACCATCGCCAAGATACTGGAGGGTCTCTTGTCTCAGGGAATTACACTGAGAATAATGACTGAATCTGAAAATCATTCCGACAAAAGTCCTTGTGAGCCCTAGCTTAGCTTAAATTGTTGTTGAAAACAATGGTAATTTGAGTCTTTGAATAAATAGATCAGAAATTTACAGAATGAATAAGTGCTCTGTCCATGAGAATCAACCTTTTGCCCTCTGAGTTAGGAATTCGCCGACCGCACTCACACCATAGGTTAGGTATTTGTATACAGGATTTCAACATGAACGAACAAGTAAAAGTGATAAGCAACAGTGGCGCAGCCTGTCGAAACCCATTTCAACAAATAGTCCATTTCATTGCCAACAGATAGCACTACCCATGTGCCTTTTTACAATCAGAAACGGGCCCGCTAGAGCGGCAAATATGATGAAGGTTGCAAGAGGAGTATACTTGTCCATAGGGGCTCAGTGCGGTTTTTCGATGACAAGTATACTCGTCTGTAGGAGGCAAAGGTTTAAGCAAGATTCACTAGATTTCTTCAGAGCCTCTGCGAAGCTCTGTTTGAGAGAAGCTGTTTTCCCATCCGAGAAAACATTGTCTGTTGTCCAAACAGAGTGGAGTGACAAGACGACATTGAACTATGTTATTTATTGGTTGCTCGACAAGCAAAACACTTTTTCCTGACTTCAAAGTTACCCATGCTCTGTCACAAAATAATTCATTTACTAAGAAAAATTATTTATTACGAAACATCCTGACTCCTAAATTGTTAACTTTTTTGTACCTATCCAATCATATTTCTTATCTTTTTCTTTCATTTTTGTGACTTAAGATCTGCCCGCAAGTCCCGATCGCGATCTCGCTTACCAGCAAAGAAGCGCGACTCAAAATCCCCCTCAAGGTCTCGTTCACCAGTGGCAGACAAATCATCACGATCACCATCCAAGAAGCGCTCCCGATCTCGTTCTCCTGCTCCTAAGAAACACTCGCGATCCAGCTCCTCGCACTCCAAGAGCCACTCAAGATCTCCTGTTAAGAAACGCTCCAAGGCTCGTTCACCCTCAGCTGACAGGTGTGTGTCTCCATATGATTTTTATCCTCTTTTGTTTTCTGAGAGAGTGAGTGTAGAAATAATCTAATTTGTTTTTTATTTTTTATTTTTTTCATTTTTTTTGTTGTAACCAAGGTTTCCTGATCCAGGAAATCTCAGTCAGCCACAAATACAGATACCTGTAAGGTCAAAGCTAAAGCAGGAAATCTTTTTAACTCTTCTAATTCATTGAAATTAGCTGTTTATAAGTATTTGAACACTAAGGAATTTATAAACGTTGTTCAAAATTGTACTTACTATTTCTGTGAAATCAGACCAGAGATATAGAGGGTTTATTAACCAAGTATTAAAGCTTTATTCAAGTTGGTAGTTTGCCATAATTTGACTAATTGTGGAGCTTTGCCATTTGTACTGTTGATTTGATGATAAATGGGTAGATTAAAATTCTTTAATAAAGTCAGGAAAAAATATTTTGTAACAAGTCAAGAAAAATACAATTGCTTTTCCACACACAACTGTACTCAGCGTATTTTAGGAAAAGAGCTTGAATCAGGCTTGCCACAATTGAGGAAAAATATGTCTGAGAATTTTAGAAAGTCGGGGAAAAGCTGGAAATGTCAGGGAAAATGACCAAAGTGTACAGGAAAAATTGTTCATTTGCCTTTATTTGCTGTCTAGAATGAATTTGATGTTTCAAGCAATGAAATTGTGCCTGAAATTTGTTTTAAATAATGTTTTTTTAACCATTTGGCTCATCTTTATTTGTCAGGGAGTTTTACCGAAATGTATCAGGAAAATTAGAGAAATGCTGGGAAAATTCATTCTCTAAATTTTGTGACAACCTTATCTGCTCTTTATCAACTGTTTACCAACCTGAAGAATAATATAATGTCTGAATTTTATCACTGCTCATCCATGAATTATTTAAAAATCTTTTTAATGTGAGTGATTTCCAATAGTTGAATTTCCTCATACATTTACATTTTTATTACTTGTTATTGATTGAAGGATTTCCTTTTTTTTCAGTGATAGGCGCTACTCTGAGTCACCACGCAAAGACCGCTCTGCCAGCCCAGGCATGAAGAATGGAGACAGATCCGGCGATGAAGATTAAACTGTGATCAAACTCATTACGAGAAGTTCTTTGTGAACAGACACACAGCAAGGAAGCAAAATTTTATGGACAAATGAGACCCAAAACGGAACAAAGTTTGGAAGATAGTGTTAATATTCCAGAATTGCTTTTTCTCCCCTTAAACTTAGGTATTTTGAGTTTTTCAATCACGTAATAATAATTATTAGTTCTGTATAGTCCAGTCCTTGCTCATGTCGGGATCTGTACAACTTGTATAGAAAGTATTTACAGGGGTGCAGAATTATCTCAATAGTGTTTTCTAACTCAGTGTGGCAACTTCACTAAAAGTGAGTAACACATTAGAGTTAATTTGCTAACAATCATAAGTCTCTCCCACCCCCACTTCTCATTTTATGAGCATTATCAGGACTTGGATCTTATCACAGTATTGTTTTTGACATACATTGACGGATAAAAAAAGAATGACACATCCTTGTAGGAACCTTGAGAGAGGGTCCCCCCCCCTTTGCTGTAGAATGGTAATGGTTTTTGCCTGTGTGAAATCTTAAAAAAATCACTGAATTGATTTGATGTCATTTTGTGCGATACAACTTGAAAATCGTGTTTTTCTTAATTTGTCGGAAATTTGAGAGTAATGAAAATGCTGTATCATCAAACACTTAATTTTCTCCTTTTTGTCCTTCATGCTATGTTCAGAGTACTGAACTTCAAGCATTTCTTCTCTGCCTTTTTGATTTTATTTTTGATTAAATTTATAATTACTGATATTATGTTTCCAATGAGTGTTATCTCTGTATTAGCTCTTAATGTGTAATCTCTTTGCATTGAGTTACCCGCACTATATGTTACATACTTGCTTGAAAATGTTGTAAATCAAAATTTATGTTGCTCCTTCCTCGTTTGGTTAAGTTTACGTAACCTGCATCATTCATCACAAGGTCATTTGAGCCTACAGTTTCCACTTATGAGAAAAACTTGATCCCTCTTTTCATTAATTAAGATTTATTTTCATATGTTTAATATTTTTTCCTCTAAAGAGACTTATCCTTGAATATTTCTTGATATTCCATCACGCTAGTATGTGAAAGAGTAAGTGCGAGTATTCAGTATTTTTAGAGAAAGAAGAATGTGTGTATTTCAAGCATTTAGTGTTCAATATGCAAAGTAATTACTTCTGACAAGAATTTCTGTACTTCATCCACTGGTTTTTTTTTTTCTTGCAATGTTTTATCAGCAAGTCTCATCTAGCAGACATGACTGAACAGATGATATTTTAAAACCATAAACACCTCAACTAAGACTTTTAGTTGGTTTTTCTGACCCTTGGATTATGTTGTAGCCCACCCTGTTTATCTCTCCTTTATCATTCGTTTTGTGAAATTTATTTTGTATTTACTTGGAATTACAGTGAAAATAACCTTAAATCCTTTTGTTAGTTATTCTTCTGTCACCTTATGATTCTTCAAACAGAAGCTGGCTTGGACTCTCATAGAAGAATTTATTACAATCATTAATAATAAGGAACCATAATTATTTATGGATTGTATTCGACAGTGGTTCGATGTATCGTTTGGTTCAAAACAATAGAACATAACCTCAAACCGAATCTTAATATGTTTGTCAGATAAGCTGATACTGAGAAAATTCCTTGCAATTTCACTACCCGTGGCCAATTAGTACTCATGCAAATAAAAAATCTATGCAATGCTAAAATCTAATGCTATCACAAAAAACCTGTTCCGTCAGATTACTCAATTGACTTTTTAGGCTATGTTTATGTTTTGAACCAATCAATATTGATACAAACTAACCCGTTTGATGTATCGAATACGATCTATTATTAACATCTGCTAGGAGAGATGTTATTTTGTCTAGTCATGATTGATAGGAGGTATCAACATAAAAATTAATTTATAAGTTTTTTTTTCATTTTTTATTTTTTTTTTAACGAAAACAAGTTTTATTACAATAAATTATTTTAATTTACACCAACAATAGTGGAATACATTTTTTTTTACAATGCAGTGATGGGCTATTGAAATCAGTTCTTGTCTAGATAACCCACCACCAGGGATAGTGAAGATAATGTAGGAGGGCTCCAAGGATCTTTGAAGAAATTACACTATTAAGTTTCCTATAAACATCCATCAAATATCTCTAGTTATATCTTCTGAGCCTATTGTTAAGTATCCCACTTTCACTCAACATGCTTCTGCTCTATCAGGTGGTCTCACACAATTATTTTCACCGACACTGATAGTTGAATAACTGACCTCTGTTGGATTAGATATTCCTCTTTTTTTCCCTGCCTCGTGTAACTTCAGTTGAAATTTTATGGCACTTGTCAATTTAAGATGTCAATGAAAATCCTTACTGCCTGGCTGTTGGCTGCAATGGCACAGAAATAATGTCAATTGCCATCATTTTTCAAGGCATTTTCCTGTAAGAAATCAAAGTTGTTGCTTTATTAACCTTTTCTGCTCTCAATTTCTTTGCGCTGGTGTTGGTATGCATATCATCCAATTATAAGCCCTCATTGTAAAATTATTTACTCAACAAAAAAAGAGAGTGAATTGGCAACTCATCTTATTACATAATTTTAGAGGAAGTCTTTCACAATTTAACTTGGTTTTGGTGGTTCCTACTGAAAGACTGCATACTGTTTACTAGAATCAATTTTAGTCCAACTTCATAGGAAGCCTCTATTTTCAAGTAGCACAGGGCAACAGAAATATTGAATCAATTTTGTAATTCAATGCAATAAAAACGCAGCATTTTTAGATCATTCGGTCAATTAATATTGACTCTAAATGATCGATTAAGTGCCCTTATGTGTGAGAAAGGTAAGCAATTTGCGATGCCAAGGAAATAGCAGCCTTTTTAAATTGAATCTTTCAGTTCTAAAACGACCCAACTCGGGTTTTTCCCGGGCTTACTTTGTTCACGGAGAAACACTCTTTCTCCGGCTGTTACGCAGTTTTCATCACCTGAAAAATTTCATTTGCCCAAGATGGGTCGTTTTCGAATCGACAGATTCTATTTTATCACAATACATTTCAATCGGAGGAGCCCCTTCAACCAGTGAATATACAACATACACAACACCGGCCAGTAATAATAACTTTACCATGTAGTAGGAATTAATCTCAATCTGTGCTACCTACTTTGACTTTAGTTGCTTTTCTGTCACTGGAAGTAAGCAAAATAGTAGCCAACGATGTGCAAAGCCAGTAAAAAGTATAACTTCAGTCACCTCTTTATTTAAGGTTTACTTAGTGTCCTCCCAGAAAAAAAACAAACTTGAGACTTATACTCCTTTTTCCTCCTTTATTGGGTTGTATCAGCACAGTACTCACACTTTTACTTTCTCACCCGTTGTGAATTCGGGCGAAAAATAAAAGGTATGAGTACTAATTTGAGACTTTTCTAACTTAAAATTTTATCAATAGGAGAGAGGGTCAATTGGGTCACGGGTCCTTTTGGAGAATTTTCAAAATCCAGTTAGTTGTGAGGGCAACCTTATGTTATATCCCTGGCTGGTGGTCGACTGCACATCCAAACCCGGCGCTCGTAATACCGGCCAAAATCCAACGTCCATTAAGGTCATCTTGCACAACGAGAGGACTCCCTGAATCACCCTGTAATAAGACATTTAACATGAAAACATTCTCGTACCTACGTGTCTTTTCAAAACAAAGATATTTGACTCGGCTCTTCTCAAACCTCACTTTTCTTCTTTCAACTTTTCTCAGCTATCCTTCATAGGTTACTACTCTTGAAAAATGGCGTAGTCCCAATGTTTCCAATCAGCTTGGAAGATTTCTAAGAATTTCCCACCAAAAAAATTATTTCAAAACTTTCAAATAGATTTTGACCACTTCCAAAAATTTTGATAACTCTCCTTGACGAGTAGGTACTTAAATCGTTCATCTTTCGCAGGGGTGCCGAAAATGCCCGATCACGCGCCCGGGCGATCGCGTGAAAATGTGGAAAGGCCCCGATTTTGTGAAAAGACCCAAAAAATAAGGGTAGGAGGTAGAATTTTTAAGGGCTGAAAATGCTGCACGTCTCCGCATCAGTCCGCGTAGAGGTCCGTGATACTAGCACATTGAGGTGGACGATTCAAAGAACGCGATTCGCGGGGAATTTCAAACTATATAGGTTCTCATGGATTTTGATTGACAGAGTCTCGTTTCTTGCTTCCGGAAGTAAGAAATCAGAGGTGGCCACCTCTGATGAATTTACCATTGCAAAATCGGGAGGAGACTTGAAGATTTCCCTGTTTTCCACATGAATGTATGTATAGGCTTTCCACTTTTTCAGGACCTTTTCTACATTTCCCGCAACTTGATGAGAGCGAATGAAAAGTTGTGAAAAGATTACCTATGCAAAACGTGGAAGGACCAAGGAAAATTTATTTTTCCTATCATCCCTCCATAACTTACGCTGTTTTGACCTACCTACGTGTTTCCTCCACGATTTTAATAGTTTTTACGGATTTCAACCTGAAATTTTGGAAACCTTTCCACATTGTCGTGACGTTTCCACATTTCCTCTAACTGGATGAAAGTTATTTGAAAGTTGTGGAAAGATGATGCAAATTGTAGAAGGGCCCAAAAATTGCCCTATGATGATTATCATCTTCCCAAAATTTACTCTTTTTTTCGCGTGTCTCTCCCACGTTTTTATAGATTTCAGCCTGGAATTGTGGAAACCTTTCCAAAATCTTCTCCCTGATTGAAAAACATCGATAGTTGAGGGAAGAGGCTACTAACGTTGAAGGATGTTGTTGAAAATAATGACATTCTCCACATTTTTTCACAACATACATAGGTTGTCCCAAAAGTACTGCACGTTTTTTTCTTATTGACGAACGGTAGTAGATATCAAAATGCGGTTTGTGTAGTCTTAGAGACCGGCCAATTACCTATAAAACAAGACAAATCCGAGCTCAGTAAGTCAAAAAATGACTAAGTTACAGCGTTCTCTGCCAGTTCGATTGTGTGTTTTTTGTCCCTTTGGGACAGAAACTGGACTTCTGACTCTTTAAAATCGGTTATGTAACGTGTAGTGATGTTTGTTTTGTGAGTGTGTGAGAGAAATCCTTGCCAAACCTAGCCAGAAGTCTTTTCTTTTTCTGCGCTGCGCGCATGCGCACTTTAGATCAAAAGTGGCAACATGGGTTTCCTTCCACCCACAATCTACTCATCTGAGCCAATAAAAAACCTTCACAGAGATCTCTGATAAGCCTAACAGGCATCGTTGACTAGAGAAACTATAGTGCGATTAAATCACCTTTTCGGACTTGGAACTCTACTCTTGTAATCAACGCGAACGGGCCGCCTTTATCTCCGCCACCCACGCGCCGCGCACGCCGCCGCTGCAAGCGGCGAGACGACTCATTATCAGTACGCCCCCTTTGTATACCTCGAACTTGACCCTTTTGATTCTCTATCATGAAACCCTGCTTAGAACACGGAAGATCACACTGCAAGACCTGTAAATGCCAACTTCATCAGGTTACGGATTGCAAAGAGGTACCATGCTACGATGCCAGAACTAACTTAATCGTAGAGGAGAACATGGAAAAAACCGGAACTACATCTTGGAAGAATGAAGAGGAAAAAATTGAATCCACCCTGAATGATCACGTGGAAGCCCTGAATATGTTAAGGAATATGATTCATGACTTGGACAACGACGAAGATGCCCAGGAACTCAAGATTGGAAGGAAGACGTTTAATAAGGGCAAAGAGACTAGGAAAAATCTGATGGAAGTTGTAACACGCAAAAAGGAAATAATCAAGACTTTGAAGGCCGAATTAGATCGATTAAGAAACAGAACTGAAACTGGAATACGGACAGAAGAATCCAAGGCCCTTTTGACGGGCAAGGATGAGACGGAAATGGAAATCGAAATCACCAATGAACTGAAAAGAAGAAGGAAAGAGGCCCTGGATATATCCATTGGAGAGATCTCTGAAGATGACGATCAAATCTTCAAGGAGAAACCGCAGAGTCAAAAGAGGCTGAGATCCTCAACCCCTAAGGGAATGAAGAATCAACAGGATCCGAAGGCTGAAAATAAGAACAGAAGGAACTCGTTACCCGGGCCCACTGACCGTGGGCGAAATATGAACACACAAAATAATAGTAAGCTGGAAGAAATCGTAAATGGACTACTTTCCCAAATC